AATCTGTACTGGGTCCTGAGATTGGGTTGTTGTTGGTGTGTGTGGCTGGGAGCCGCAAAGCTAAAGCCAAGTAGTGTTGAAACAGCAACCGAGTGAATAAAGTATATGCTGAAAAGCCTTAATGTGTGGACGGGTCTGCCGTGAGTTATTTACAATCACATTTCGACCCTGATTCATGATCGTGTGTTAGATTAAGGAATTTTAGATGCTAGTCTCATTGTGCATATTGTACTCCAAGATTGAGCTTTGATTCCGATTCCTTCGTTTAACTCATTACTTATCTCTGCTCCTGTCCTGATAATGAAGAATAAAGTTCTACATTTCACCCAATTCTGACAAAAATCCAACACCCTCTGGACTATTTTATATTCCAGCTTCAGCCCCGTGTTGATATAACCACTTGAAGCTAACACCACTTGGCCTCTTCCCTCAGTTTCCAGCAAGGTGTCTACATGAGCGCTCAGCTTGCATTGACTTTTACTTGCATCACATCTTGGCCATTGGTAAATAACACACATTCATCTCCACTCAGGCATATTCAAGAGCAGTGAGGCATCATTTTGACACCAACAAATGTAGGAAAAGTATGTGAGGACCAGCCTGCTCTACTCTTAAGAAAACATTGACTCAGTCTGTGTCATCAGTACTGCCTGTCGGAGCCCAGACCGGTCATAATAATCCTCATCATCCTGCCCCGTCAAAGGTGTTTGTCTGATATAAACACACTCCATCCTCCCAGACATGGGGCTTTAGTCTCTCTCTGCTTCCCTGCTTTGTGTAATGCATTTGTGTGCTTTGCGTGCTTCCAAGACTTGTGTCTGTAGAGGAGTGTTTGTGCAAGTGCATGGCTGTGTTTTTTTGGGATAATAACGTCTGATGGATGGGGAGTCTGCTATGCTGACAAAAGGCCCCATTAACATATACCGCTTGGCTCCCTCTCGCAATCCGTCATACACCACATACACCCACAGAAAATGCAGGTAATCAATGGGAAGATTTAATACCAGCCTGTCTCCTAAAAATTACGTTCCCATGCAGCTAGACTGTATTCCCAATTACGGTTTAAAGTAAAAGTATTGTCTCGCCAATAAAATACAATGTAATGTAAAAGCTCTACAAGCACTATTTAAACATAACAGTGTTGTAGATTATCTAAGGTTCAGCTACCAAGTGGAACCATCCTCTGTTTTTAATTAGTTTTATCTGACATTTTCACTTTTAAATTCAGTTTTCATTCACTGGTTAGTAGAGCTGGGCGATAGAATGATAACGATATGTATCACGATATAACTTTTTCTCGATAGAAAAATTAAACTATCGCGATAGACCTCGCCGCTCTTGTCCTCTTAAAAAAGAAAAAAGAAAAAAGAAAAAAAAGAACAGCCAATCCAAATAAAGTAGCGCAGAGCCGAACCAATCACAGCCGCAGCGTCACGTCACGTGACTTGTTACGTACAGCACAAGTGCCAAGCCGCACATGTGTATTTGTTTGGGAAGCAGCCAGCGACCGTACCGCCCGGGTAATGGAGGAAATGAGTGTGCCGACTAGAGAAATCAACCGAGCGTGACCGAAGGTAACCGAAGAGAAAACAGATGATGGTTCCAATGCCGGAGAGATTGTCGAACAGAAGAGCGTGAAGGTATTTCGGCTATTTCAAGTCTGACAAAAAACAGAGTAGCGTGCACTGTAAATTGTGCTGAAAGCAAGTCTGGAAATACAATAAACTGGTGCATGCGCTACGTCCACACGTACCCGGGTATTTTTGAAAACGCAGATTTTTCTATGAGTTTGCACCTTTCGTCCACACGTAAACGGCGTTTTTGGTCACTGAAAACGAAGATTTTTGAAAACTCCATTTTTGCATTTACCTGTGGACTAGAAAAACGGAGAAAACGCAGCGTCAAAGGTGTGCGCATTTTTTGACGTCACACTGTGCGCCACGTTATTGTTTCGGTGAAATGAATTTCTACAATTTCTACTGTTAATTCTACTCTCTGCAGTGTTTAAATGCTTACATACACACACAGTTACTGTCCCTCCACACATACGACTCGGTTCTGCTTCTATGCCCCAGCTTTGTTTACTTTTTCCCACCGAGGCTTCTAGACTTCTGATTGGCCAACATTTCTGCACGGTTAGGAATCTAGCTCCACCTGCTGCTTTGGCACCACAAGACGAATAGGTCATGGTTTGGGTTCAAACGTGCCCTTTCGGTGTTAACACCATTCGGGTTCCCAGCTCAATGAGCAGAAGAAGTGAGTAAGAACATGCACTTGCAGCCCAACTACTGGTTTGGACTGCCTTTAACTCTTCATGAGCTTCAACAGCGTCACCTAGTTACTGCAGATTAGTCAGCTGCACATTTGTGATGGAACTCTCTCATTTCACCACGTCCCAAAGGTGCTCTTGAATTGAAATGTGGTGACTGTGGAGGCCATCTGAGTACAGTGAGCTCAGTGTCATGCTCAACAAACCTGGTTGAAATCATCTGAGCTTGTGAAGGCGTGTGTTATCCCATATTCTCATGGGTACACTGTGGCTATAAGGGTATGAGGTTTGATGGGGAGATTGATACCGCTTTGAATTCTGTATGCTAACAAGAAAACTAAAACCAGCAGATTATTTGCTGAGCAATTAGCTGAGGCCAGTGGGCAACTGTTTTAGGCTCCTTCCAGCCTTTGAGCTAAATTAGTCACTTACTGCTTCTAACGTCACCACAAAGACATGAAAGTCCATTTTCATAAGAAAAAATTGTGAAAAGTCATATCTCTTTGTATGTTTTTACATATTGCTAGTGTACACTATATTATAGTGTCATTATTTTACCGTTTTACCTTCCTTGTTAGAAGTAATTAGGAAGGGCAGGTTTAGAAATGAGTATATCAAATGGACAACTAAGGTTGAGTAGTTTGGTTAGTGAGGCAAATCTGACATACTTGGGCGTGTGCACTGGAGGGACAGTGGATGTACTGGACCTTTTTCCTTTTTGATGTGGAATATGGAGCTGCCAGGCAGGCGCCAAAGAGAGACCACAGAGAAGCTTTGTGCATGTAGTGAGAGAGCTCATGTAGAGGGTTTGAATACTAGAGTTAGGATTAGAGGCAGATGATCCACTATGGAGTACCCTAAAGGGAGCAGCTGAAAGAAGGAGATCATAGTAATTTTAATTTTCAGGCTCAGAGGCACAGAGTAACCTTTGGGAATGTCAGTCTTATCAACAAGCGGTTGGTCATCCAGGAATTGAGGTGGATAAGGAACTTTTCCAAAAGTAGAACTTGAAGCCCTCGAGCTCGTTTCAGCAAACAGGCCTCAAAGGAGAATACAGGAAATCGGAATTACCAAGAGCCTTTAATCCATGAGCAGGAAAAACAACTTGGAAATGTTACTTTTACTCAGAGTAATAAAACAGTAACACTGTACTTAATACAGTACATGATGTGTCACTCCACTTGTTTGCTCTACTGAGCCTGTAGCCTACTTACATGGGTGAATGTTATTATTTTGGTGTTATGTCACGTATTGACACAAACACAAGGGTTATTTAGTGTGTGTGGATTACAAAGGTTTAAATCTTGTTGATATTGATTTACACTGAACATCTTGGCGATCATAATACAATGGAGGTTTTCTGAATTTGTAAGATTAATAGGAATTTACGTGCTCTGGTGTCTAATGTCTTCTGACAAATATCACTGGTTGGGGAGTTACAGAGAGAATATACAAGAGGAGTCTTCAAAGATTTATTGGACGTTCCTACAGTCGAAAGCTGTATAGAATTACTGTGTGTGTGTGTTTGTGTGTGTCACAACAAGAATACCACTGTAAGTAAACACTAAAAAACAGCAATATAGTTTCTCATATGTTTGTTTCAGGGTGCCAATCCACACAAAATCACAGGCAGAACCGCCTTTACCTAGCCATCAAATATCCTGAATGAACTAGCAAACAAATCAACAAATTAAGTGCGTAAAAGGAGCTGACATGGTTGTGTACATGCTATGTAATGAAATTCAAGGAGCAAATATTACTTCTCTGCTACCTGGTAGGACAGAACGAGAGGGGAAATAACAGGAGAGAAGAGGAAATGAGTTTGCGTGAGACTTATAACCACGCAGTTGTATGACAACTGAAACAGAAATGCGTAGGCCTGTCAGCATTGTTTGTTATATGTAACATTATGGCTGTGTTGAAACACTAAATGGGAGTCTGTGTGAAGATACGTTATTGGCTGCCAAGACAAAGCTGAAGACGGTCTGTAAACACAGTAAATGCACAGGGAATTTCAGGAGCAATGCTGACACTTGTCTGTAAATTGTGCTGAAAGCAACAGTAAATGCACAGGGAATTTCAGGAGCAATGCCGACACTTGTGAGCAGCATTGGTGCTCCGTGCTTTATCTGTCGGCACTACTGCGTACCAAATCAGTGCAGATGTGTATGGAATCTTATATTTTTTTATTATTGTGTTTCACTGGTGCAGAAAAACAGGCAGACTTCTCTAGTCCTATTTGAACTGATGTTTTCTCACCACCCTTTTAGTAATATTTCTTATCTCCAATCCCTTTGTGCTTACCCTTCTGAAATCATTCCCATGACAAGATAACACTGTAGAGGGATAAACAAATACCCCAAACAAGTTCACAAAAAGAGAAATTCAAAAGCAACCTTGTTTTCACTTTGATAATAAGGCATTTTGGAGTGTATGTTATTGGTTTTGAGAAGGGTCTCTGTTCCCAAGGTACTGAAGAATCTGAAGTCTGTATGTTTTCATCCTTCAGCGAAAAAATAAGAGTTCAAACCGTAGAAAGCAGCATTTTGTGTGGTATTCCCGTTTTCATCGCAAACCTAAGCAGTGGACACAGATGGGAAACACAGTTTAAGGCATGTGTGGCTTAATGGACTACCGTCAATCTAAAAGTATCCCGATGGTGCTCCACCAAAGAACAACATTTCACAGTATATTAACACTTTTTTTTGTTTCTCTCGTTTGTCTCTTGCAGTTCAGCAGATGAGAAGTTTCGCTGGAATAACCAAGGTAATGTGACTGTCTTATTCACTGTTTGTACTGTAGCGCTGCGCTTTGCTGGTTGTGCTTATTGCATTGTTATCCACTGTAATCTCGTCCTATATAATATTATATATATTGATGTAGTTCTTTAGAAAGTACTGCGGTGGTCTTAAACCACCCCAATAAAGGTTAGTTAACAATAAAAGGGTGAGATTCTCTCACCACCTCTCACCACACCTCAAACCATCTGACAACTGAGTAAAGCAGCATTTGCAAATAATTCTGAGTATTTAGTTTAACCTGTTCAGGGTGCCAGATGGGATGTGCTTTCCATAAAGGACAATGAGAATCAATGAGCTTTTAGGCAATTTGAAAGTCAAATTAAGACACTTCTCCAGGCTTGACAACTTCTTTGACGGCATTTATTAGCTGAAGAAATACCTCCCATGCGTGACACTTAGGTCTCCCTCTCTCTGCCTCATTGTCAGTCACGCTGAGTTGTATAGGAAGCGCGGAGGTTTTGTGGTTTAAACCCTCCACAGTGAAAGTTTTCAATGTCTGCCGCGGTCTTTATCCATCCCGCTATGCGGGGGGGGGGGCAGATTTAAAAATGACTTTTAGCTTTTGTTAGTGAGGGTAAGAGTAATTCTAGTGGAATGCTTCAGACACCCCTGGAAATGCTTCACCAACAGAATCAACATCATCAGTCTAGAATTGTGTCAGTTGAAGTCAATAAAATCTGCCTCCTAAATCCACTGACTAAGTCCTCTACTATTACCGTTTCTCTTCTGTCTTGATAAGAGATTAATGCTGCTCCTAAGACTCATTTGTAAGCTGTTATCCCCCTTGGCAGCCCACTTTAACTTGAAAACACTGGGCATGTTATCAGCCTCTTTCTGACAGACAAACGGCTGGTATCTAAGTACAAGGTGGACCTCAAGATTTGTTGCTGGATTATCAGTTAGGCCTTTACCCTTGGCCCATTGATCGCCATTGCATGCTGCTCTGTGTCACTGTGTAAAGCCACTTCTTGGGTAACTAATCTGCAGTTAAATGACAATGATTTTGAATATTTTTTTGTTGAAACTTGTCTAGAATTGTGTTATAGTCTAAGATCCAGTTGCTTATATTCAAAGGTGGGTTTCTGGTTAAAGGACGAGTTGAAAATGAAAGGTTACAAACACAATAGACAGAAAGCAGAGACAATGAGAGTCATTGGGAGTCTGCATGTGGCTCTTCATTTGCTAACTGTAAGAAATAGTGTAGTCACATGATGTGTAAGTGTATGAATTTCTGCTCATGTTTGTCTCCTGTTCTTCCTGCACGTGTAGATGGACAGAAGGACATAGAGGAGGAGCTGACAACAGGCCTAGAGCTGGTGGACTCCTGCATCCGATCGCTCCAGGAATCGGGCATCTTGGACTCACAGGACACTTCTACAGGAGACAGTAAGATCAATGTTGTGATGATGAGAGTAGAACGAGAAACGATTCTTCCTCCTTTTTCTTTCCTGAGATGGCAAAAGAAGCATATCTTGGAAGAGGAAAAGTACAATCTAATCAAAACCAGCGAGGATGGTTATTCCCAGAGAGCCGTAGTCTCCAGGTTTTGGTTGATTAACCTGTTGAATGTGTTTGAGTTCACAAAGAAAGTGCGCTTCACAAAAACAGCCTCCTCCACTAGTGAGGAAGCATGGTAGTGCAGCAATATGTTTAGTCCTCCTTTGAATTAACAGCAACCTTTTTAATGAAGCCTGTTACATGATGATCTGTACTCAGGCTGATTCGTGTCTCCTCACCTAAATGCAAAACATGTTTTCTTTCATTACCGTGACTGCTGCGGTCAAAATACGGCTTCTTTCAAACATAAAAGTTTTAATCCACAGAATCTGTTGCAATAGTATGTTAGTGTGCCAAAGATGAATGCAGCTTTCATTGAATTTTTTGTTGATGACAAGTTGCCTTTCTGTTCTTGTATGACCCATATACCTTTTAGCCTTTGAACATTAAGAAGTTGAATAACATTGGCAGTTAAAGTGAAAACAGATTCATTTTAAGACTGGATTTAAGTTGCTACTTCTATTTATTCTCTTCTTAGCTCTGATTTGGTCCATAGAAGGACTTATTTGTCTCTTTATCTGCTAAGTTCCTGGATAACTTAGAAACAATTGCTAGAAGAAGAGGTTGCGCTGCTTTTTAATGTGAAGTTTAAAGTAGTTTGTCAGAGCACTCAGTGAAACCGCTCTCAACCTTCTATACTTGGTCCCAGGGATGCTACTGGGTGTTACTCTATATTCTACCCCATGCGAGAGCGGTAGCTGTCAGGAGACATGCAGTGTTGCCAGTAGTTTGATATGCTAATCCATCCTTGCTGAGGTGTCAGCTGGCCTGCTGTTCACAGTACAGAGAGGTGAGGCACACACACCAACATGCAGCTAAACAGCACAGACACATTAAGCTACATATATCCACACACTGAGCGCTGAATGAAAACACGGAAAAGTTGTAGAGGTGTGCATGCACAGCATCGTGCATTAACATTCACAGACGGATGCGACACAACACAAACAGGAATGTTAATTTTTCAAATGTAAACTATCAGTTATGCAATGTGTCACTCACTGGCTAATCAAAAGAGAGAGAGAGAGAGAGAGAGAGAGAGAGAGAGAGAGAGAGAATGGCAGGTCAGCCACAGACAGGATAAAGGCAGTGCGGACAACAAGAGGGTGAGTAGAGGAACAACAGAAGCAATGATGTAGTCAAACATACAGCATTAATGAACTCATATTGGTGTGTTAGTGTTAGGAAAACGGGACAAATGTTGTCTTTTTCTGTTCTAACGACATATCTGAACAATTAGTTTACAGTTTACTGAATAATCTAAGCATGGGATGAGTGTGAATGTTTACAACATGAAACATTTGGGTTTTTCAAAAATTTAAAATGGCTTCTATAAGTATTCATATGCTTCCGCCTCTCACTGTAATATCCAGCTGTCTTGATCAGTAAAGAAAAACAACTCACACAATTGTAGACTGATGATGTTTTGCTATAAATGGAATAACACATTCTTACTAGGATTACTTTCAAAGGAAATAATATGTCACGACTTAGCTAGTTACATTAGTAACACACACACACACACACATATATCATTACTAGCGCATCTAGTGTGTAGTATATGAATCCTGTTAAGAAACTTGCATAGATGCTAATGGATGTTATCGGCTAACTGAATTGAAAAGAATTGAGTATATCTGGGAAATCATTCTTAATGTCAGTCTTAGAATGTATATACTGACATTGTCCATGTCTTTAATATGCAAGCTACATAGCTAGCCTTGATACCTCTATCATAATTATTTTATTGTATTTTTTTATTCAGGCGGAGACTTTAAGCCAACTCATTCAATGTTAGCTCAACTTGCTACCTAGCTCTGATGATAAAAGCTGCAATTGATTTAGAGTTGCTGTCTAGAAATGGTAACTCTCTGAAATCAATCACCAATTACGTGGGAAATTACTCTAATCGTGGCAAATAATTGTTTGCTTGTGTTAAGAAAACAATGTTTATTAGCATGATTTAAAATGCACCAAATTTACTAGTGTGTTGCGCTATGATAGAGCGCAATGAAAAGATTGAATTTAAGAGGTGGGAACTCAGAGATTTTTGTGACTGACCCTTTTGCATATGTATTTCTGGGAGCTTGTTTTTTAAGGTACAAAAGATAGCGAGGAGAATATTTAAATCAAGCGCGCAAACTGATTTACCAAGGTTTGTGACGTGTGATTTACTGCTAGCTGCTCCAATATTTAACGCTGAAAAAAAGCCTGTTGTGTTTTTGCTCTTGATATTGAAACGAACTGACTCTGCCCTTTTTTAGAAAACCAGAACAGCTTTTTTAACTCACTCGTAAAACTAAACTAACCACACAGGGCTGTTTGCCGGTTGCACTTACATGTTTATTTTGTCTCGTTTAGTTAAAAGTACACACTACTTAGCACACAGCCAAGCACATGCATGCATAGGAAATATAATACCTGTATGACAAATGAAGAGATGTTTACATACGCCCACACACACCTGTAACCCATGCCCACTGGAGCAGCAGAATCCATGCCTTTTACTCGAGCTGCTGAGCAGATTAATGTGACACAGCAGCAGAGTACACCGAGTGTCTTCACGCTGCTTCATGCTGGTGTTTGCGGCTGTGTTGCGAGCAGCTATTTGGGACCGTGCATGCAGTTTCATTTGTGTTGCAGACTCGACGTGCCTCTAATGAGCATCTAAATATAGACCACCTCATGAAATATTAAAACATGTCAATCGAGAAGTCTGGTCACGAAGAAAAGCTCTTTGGGTCTGCGTGCGTGACAGAAAAGAGAAAAGAGGTCAGAATGTGCACGACTCCGTAGATGCAGGTATATGCAAATGTGCTCAGTGTTCATGCATGAGATCACGGGGGCAGGTGGGATCCAAGTGTGCGTGTGTCTGTTCACTCAGCTCTGAATAGATATTAAAATGTACAAGCAGAGACCTTCTTACAGGACCCCATTACTTTCCTGCTACTACACTAATACACCCCTATCTTTTCCTACACACACTCACTTACATCAGACGGAATGAGTGGAGCCTTTAGTGTCATGCCATATGAGTAATAATGTATTTATGAGGCCCTTTGTTTCCTTAAAGGCTCCACTAGCCATATGAAACACACCTAAAGTGGCAAAGAAAAACTGTGGAAAATATCCCCTGGCTTTGCACATACACATTTGACTCTTGTGTGCATGAGAGTGTGTGAATTGATCTCAAACAGGCCTGGAGTACAAATTCCTTCATTTCACTATGTGTGTGCGTGTGTGTTTTAAGCCTGTGTATGCATATACGTGTGTACTCTCGGAAGATGAGCATATTGGACACTGAGGCCTCGACCCAGTAAACTCAGCCAGCACCCTTAGCTTGATATCACATTTTAAATTATGCAGAATCACCAGCTACTCCGCCTGCAGCCATTCTCTGTACTTTAATGTGACTTTTCACTTTGGTCGTGCTTTATTTTGCAACCCTTTTATCCAGAGTGACTCCTTTTGCCGTTAGCTGCTGGCCTTATCTGCCTCGTGCAGTGTTTATGGACCGCCGGCACTAAGATTTCTCTCTTCTTTAATAATCACAAACAAGCAACGTTTCTTGGTTTTGTCCCGTGCGCCGTTCTTGGTTTGATTCTTAGACTGCTGGCAAAAAAAGTGACACAAGCGGAGATTAAAGGAACAGCCACTGCTGACAGAGGACAGCTCAAGAACTCCTTTGAGAGTACTGAGTGCTAAAAATTTAATAAACATGGGTGCAGTCAGTTATTTTGCCAGGATAAAGGGAACGTAATCTAGTATATCTGCTGATACATGCATGCAACGCTGCAGCTACAACGGGACACCATTTTTTTAAATACCTTGTTGGCTAAAAAAAGTTTAATTTCTGTAATTAAAACCGTTTATTAGGAACATTATTGCTATCATCACCAAAGTGAATTAATCAAGGTTGCATCAAAAATGAAACAGCACTTTAATAAGAGAGATGGGAGGGTTTTGGCTGTTGTACAAGCAGCTCCCGTCCTCCTCTTCCCAAATTATTCCCTTAACATTCTCATTTGATGCTTTCTAGATGCTTTTGTGATTATGGTTCATGCCTCCGTGCCGCGTGAGTCTGTGTTATGTGTCACAGTCTACGCATGTTTGCATGTTTACACTGGAAATGAAATGGTCCATGTGCAAATCACAAGACTGCAAACGCTTTAGAAGCCCTAATGAGGCTGCATGTAAAATTAGCAGTGAAGCATTTAATGTCATTATGCTTTGGCTGTAAGATAGCGTAAACCTGCTGTTAACCTATTTAACTCTGCTCTAACGCAGTCGTCAGCTAGTTAACCCTGCCTCTCTTCCTGACTCGCTATGCCATTCCCTATTAAACATGGAGACATAAAAATAGCATCCATGTAGATGCATTTTAAATGTTGTTCCAGACACCTAAACATGTCTTGGCCAATAAGGATTATGACTTTTTGCGTCACTTGCTCCATTTTTGTATTATTTGAAATACTGGTCTAAAACTTTTATGTTCACAAATTGGCTGCTGTCATAAAAAATAAAGTGTTATGATGTGGAACGACGTGTTAAGACTGGTAATGTGTAAAACTGATTTAATTATCACTGCGATGCTACTTTGTGTTTGTAGAGCCTTAATAAAAAATACAACAAAGTAAAAGGTCTTAAATTTGTTTTTTATTATTTCTAATCATGATGGATAAACTCTTGAGAGATTGAATCAACCCTTTAAATGTAAATCTAGAACCTGTTATGTATGCTTTCGTGTCAGTTCAAAGGCTGTTAAGACTAGACTATTATCTTATGAGGTTAAAGGTCATTTAGCGCATTTACTATTTATAAAAGTGTCCAAATACCTGTATAAGCTCGCCTTGTAACAGCTGAGGGGAAGAAGCACTAGTCAATCACAAGATTATGTTTTGTAGTTCAGTATTTGGGGTTGTTCTGTAGTGTCTGGGTCCAGAGTGTTGGCAGTGGATCCTTTGCACATTGTCATGAGATGATGTTTTAGTGTTGTTGATGATGGCTGGATCTAGTCAAACCACTATTACTTTTTTTTCTCCCTGAAGACTGAAAGCAACTTCTTTCTCTTACCAGTTAGTTCACACAGCCAGCGGAGGGTTAGCTAAGCCTGACGTTTAAGCAATTTTTTATTATCTTACCTTCAGTTAGCTTGGAGCTGCTGGTTTTCTGACCCTGTAAAAGTCAGCATTCAGTAAACTGGCATCACAAAGCAGCATTTATGAAGTAGTTGGGCTTTGAAAATTCACTCCCCATGGTGCTTAGTGAAGGTAATTCATTTCAATATCCAAAATGTTGCAGAATTAAACTGTCTTGGTATCTTTAAAAAATCAACCAGGACCTGTGGAAAAGTGCTGGTCTTAAAGAGGGGAAAAAACCCCTAAAACCAGCGCTCTGTTGTTAATTACACAGGCGCTGATAGACTAATAAAGGTGAGCGATGTCTTGCAAACTTGAATCGTTCTGCTTGTGCTGAAAAGTTTAGCTAAACTTTTCAAGCCAATGCCAGCAATAAAATCACAGTCATCCTTCTATTCGATCAAATCACATTATGAAACTATTCAGAGAGAATGAGGGAGGTGCTTGTGCAGTACCTTCCTGACTTTGTTGTTGGCAGTTAGCACGAGCCAAGCTATCTGCCTAATTTCTAATGAAGGTGTTGTGTCCTTGCCATAAATGACTATTGCTACGGCACTGCTGTGCCTTCTTTTGCCTACTCCCTAATTTCCATAAAGGGGCTGCAGCAGATGGGATCTTATATTTGATTATTTTTTAACGCCAGGCTCCATTCCTGATGCAATGCTCCCATTTTTCCAGACATGCGACTGACATGAGGAGTATTCTAGCTCGTGAGTCCCTGTAGGCTGGGTTCGTGTTTCCTCTAATTATCAAAATGGGGACCTTTCTTGTTTTCTCTGGGGCAACCATATTTTGTCCTTCAAGTTTTCCCACTTCTTTGTACATCCCCCATTACACCCATTCCGGCAGTTTCGTCAGTCCCTTTCCAGGAATGCGCTTACATTTGTGAGTCCTCGATGGTATGATTATTATTCTTATGTTGAGATGATAATTGCCTTTTGAAAGGCAAACCTGTTGACCACCACCACACTGGTTATCTCTGCAAAAGGTAGCATCAGTAAAAATACCCTGCTGAAAATCTGCCACACCCACCGTCGAATGTTGAAACAGTCCTTACACGTGAATGCTCCCTTAATGCCGCCTTAACCCACTCCACCCACTAGCTTCATATTCAACTAGTAGTTAAGAGAGCTACCAGTCTTTTTTAAAAAAATAAAAAAAGAACTTTTCACTAACTACACTTCATTTTTTATTTATGAAGCCACAAGTTTTACTTTTTCACAGCAAATGAAAATGGATTATTTCAGTGCATCCTTGAGTGAGTTTGTGAAAGTTTCATTGTTGGCCTCATTCTAACACTTTTGTGTCGCTCTCCCTGCTGAATTATACAGGCAGATGGAATGGAGAGAGAGAGGGAGAGACACTCAGGTAGTCGAGAGCAATAAAGGAACTGATAGAGGCAGGAAAAGAATGTGTTTTAAATGGAGGTCAGGAATAGAGTGAGATTTAAGGGTCATGGAGCATGACTGGAAGAGAGTGGAGAGAGGCCAGAATAACATAGTGGGTAAAAAGCAAGTGGATGCCTTAAAACAGGACGATAAGTAAATCTGTTTCATCCCATTTCAGCCTTCAGTGTGCTTCTTCCTTTCTCTATTCTTCATTTCAAGGTCTGTTACAGACCAACACAGTCCTGCTTGTTGTATTCACGTTTAGTCTTTCTCCCATAAAAAAGAGATACATTGTATAACACGTGGGATGTAAAGTAGGTTACAGAATGCCTTCAAGGCCACAAACAGACGAAGTCTTTACACAAAGACTGACTGTTGTAGAAAGTAAGAGTCATTTGAAAACAGTTACATAAAAGCAGCTTGACAGAAATAAAGTCTGTTTGTAAGGTGGCTTTTGACACTGGTCAACAAATTTCTTGTAAATCATTTTAGCTTTCTTCAGACTGCTAACCCAGATTCTTCTTTTTTAAAGATCATTTTGATGAATTTAATGAACAGGATTTTTCTCCTTAAAAAATTTGCACATTGTGCAGGCTCAGTAACCACGTCCTTGGCCAGTGCTCATCACCCTTATTAATTCGACTCTTTTTCATTTTTCCCATCAGGACAAGGACTCCTGTCCCAAAGCGCTTTACAGCTTAACAATCAAGATGCCTATGCAGCAGCTGGTTACCATAGTAATCAAGGGCTGACACTTGGAGAATCAGTCCCAGGCCGCAGTGGGCAAATCGGAGGAGCAGTCCACAGCTACAACCAGGTGCTTGTTCCTCTGATTTACCTTCTCCAAATGCCCTTTCTCCGGCCCTCTGTCTTCTTCGTGTCTCCTGTCCCGTGTCCTCCTAACCTGTGCGCTCCTCTTCACCCTCCTTTCTTGTCCTCTTACATCTTCATTCACATCTGTCTCCCCCTTCCTTTCTCCCTCTCTGTGTGACCCCTTCTTCCCCTCATCTGTCTTATGTTTCTTCCCTCCACCCATCTTCAGGTGACATCGAGCCGTGCAGCTGCCCAGTTAGCAGGCACAGACTCTCCTTCACAGTCCCAGAGAGACTCATTTGCCCAGCAGGCCTTTGGCAGCGCTTTCCACATGTCCACAGAGGGCGGACCTGCACCTGCTGGACCATCCATGTATTACTCGTGTGCCACTTTGCCTGCACAGGTACATATCCCTAAAGGTATTACTATGATGCTTCAGTTGTTGTGTGACTGATGCGTTCTCCACTGCTCCTGTACACACTGCAACCAAAGTGTATTGAAGGGTTTCATGTAGCGATTGGATAATTTCTAATGCACTAATACTGAAGTCAAATTCAAGCTGCTTCCATTGATCTCAAAAGATACAAGCTGTAGTATTTTCACACGTTTTCAACACAGAGTCAGCAAGCATTGTTCGGGTAATCGTTGTGGCAAAGGCCACCAAATCTCTGCCAAATTACGTGTCTATTTCACACATCCCGCTGACAAACCCACAAAAGAGAGACAGAAAAAGCTTTTGTTAACAAATGTTAAAATCTCAGAACCACTGAACAAATTCAACATTCGACCTTATGTTGCTCAACATGTTTGTGGAGAAAAACCTGTGAAGCAGAATGTGTCTTACATATTCACTGGATGGTGTCCGTGTCTGTTGCAAAGGTATCCAAACTGAGCCCGCTCTTTCTTTTATATACATTATCGTTATTCTTGCAGGAACTGTTACTACAAAGTCCCGTTTAGTTGACTTTATTTCTGTAATTTTGGTAACTATAAAGTCATTACGTTAAACGTGACACGTGAGAACGTAACATTGCATTCGCAGTTACATGATCACTGCATGTGTGACGATGTTCATGCAAAGCTTTGTTCAGATTCCCATTACGGAAGAGAATGTGTGCATAAAGACATTAATACATACATATGCTATCATCACTATAGTTAGAGGTTATCAATATCGTTTAATTGCTTTGGAAACAGTCAAATAACAATTTAATTAACTTTAGGATTTATTACCCATGATTCTGATTTTTTTTTATTCATGTAACAGTGATTATTAGAAAGTGTGCAGCCTTCTGGTTGTTGGCTGCCACAGGGAAAAACCAAAAAACATCAAACTTGCACTAACACGTGCTGTAACAGGTGGCGATTTACACTACTGTTCACTCATTAGTTCATTTTTCATAATTCTTTATTGTAACTCCGTTGAACATTTAAACTGATTTACCTTCACTTTTCCGGTGTATCACAACTTGACCACGCTCGTCCAAATTAACAGTGTTTTAAATTGTCCCTTTAGCTCTGTGCCTGAAAGGCATTGGAAATATTTGTTCAACCAATTCAATTCTGAGGGAACTTCATTTGGCGGCCCGTTGCTCACGGCTGCATTTCAAGTTCATTTGGTTGTAAAAGTTTACAGTCGTGACTTCATGTTTGGTCTGATAACCCAGAGCTCTTCATCAGGATGTTATCACGGATTAGAGTTTCTGCTCTCTGGTTTTCCAGCTCCGGGGGGGGGAGTTGTTCATCTCTATGGAAGTAATGATAGGAATAAGAAGAGAGGATGAATATTTAATGTGAGTGACATTCCCAATTAATGAATTACAAATCTTGCATTGCAGCGCGTAAGCTCCCCTCTGCAGGCGGTGGGATCTCCTACCAAGCTGCAGCGGCTGGGATCAGCCTCTGCTGACATGCCCAGCTACGCCACGCTACAGAGAGTGTCCTCACCCAAGCAATCACCCAGCCGACTCGCCAAATCCTACAGGTTGGTCTGACTCTATACACAAATTATACATCGATTTGAAGAATATATCTTTACTAACCGAAGGCTTCTGACCAAATCCTCGAAGTACTCACATGTGGCACCGCTGCTAATACGGCTGCATTGGCTCCCCATTGAATTCAGAGTCCATTTTAAGATTCTGGTTCTGACATTCAGAGCTCTTCATGGACAAGCACCAGCCTGCATCACTGAACTTCTATAGCCCTATGTCCCTAGCAGGTCCCTGAGGTCACGTGATCAGGGCCTACCTGTTATACAGCATACAAGACTGAGAACTAAGGAAGACGGAGCTTTTGCCACTGTGGCCCCCAGACTGTGGAACTCTCTCCCACTGAGCTAAAGATCTGTGGACTCAGTAGTCTATTTTAAAAACAACTAAAAACACATCATTTTAGTATTGCATTTCCTCAACTTTTTGTCTGTTTTTGTTTTATACCTTGTTATCTCTGTGTGAAGCACTTTGTGACCTTTTGTCTAGAAAGGTGCTATGTAAATAAAATTTTAAATGGTAAATGGCCTGGATTTGTATGACGCTTTACCCTGTCCCTAAGGACCCCAAAGCGCATCCACCTATTCACACACTGGTGATGGCAAGCCACATTGTAGCCACGGGTCCCCTGGGGCGCACTGACAGAGGCGAGGCTGCCAGACACTGGCGCCACCGGGCCCTCTGACCACCAGAGGGGCTCAAACTGGCAACCTTCTGATTACAAGACAAACTGCCAACTCTTGAGCAACGATCGCCCCGTGGCTTACTTTACTTACTAACTTACCAGTTTATGCTGTGGGGGCGTCTTGGGGACCTACCTGAGAAGTAAAATCCCAGAGTGGAGGGGCACAGAGAAACTCAATAGGCTTGGCCTATCCCATGGTCACAAAATAGGCCCTGTACAGTTTAAGTGTTATACAGTATTTGTTACTTATTTTGTTACAGTAAGTCGTCCAGGTTTTGTAGCTACCTCCTCCACCATGTTTGACTGTTGGTATGATGCTGTTTTTACAAAATGCTGCGTTAGTTTTACAGCCGATGTAACAGGACTCAAAAACCTTTTGTCTTGTTAGTCAACAGAATATTTTCCCAAAAGTCTTGAAACTCATCACAAAGTTTTTGGGCAAATGTGGAATGAGCCTTTGTGTTCTTGCTCCTTGGAACTCTCCCATGGATGCCATTTCTGTTGAATCATGAACCTTAACTGAGGCCTGTGGTTCTATAGATGTTGTTCCGGGCCTGGGGTAACCTCCTGGATGAGTCATCAATATGCTCTTGGAGTAATTTTGGTAGACCTGGGAAGGTTCACCAATGTTTCAAGTGTTCTTCATTTGTAGGTAATGGCTCTCACTGTGGTTTGCTGAAGAATTTTGTAACTCTTTACAAGGTGACAGATGTCAATTAACTTTGTTTTTCAGCTGCTTCTTTAAGATTGTGGGATGATGTGTTGCTTTTTGAGATCTTTTAGCCTACTTCACTTTCTTTTTTAGTCATTTCTTGATTGAACAGGTCCAGCAGTTATCAGACCTGAGTGTGGCCAGTGAAGCTGAACTCAGATTTCCAGAAAATGTTTTAATTTAACAAGGAGGGACAGTCAGTTTTCCACACAGGGTCATTTAGAACTGGATAGTTTTTTTTACCCCTGAATAGGTTAAATCAATTAAAAAAACAGTTTTTTGTATTTACTCGAGTTATTTCTGTCTAATGTTAAAAATTGTGTTATGACCTGAAACAAGTAAATGTGATAAATATGCAAAAAATCTAAGAAATCATGGGGCAGATACTTTTTCACTGCACCGTGCATCATCAGAGGTAATGTACCGGCACCAAGATGAACATTAACAGATTCCCATATCCTGCCACAGCAACTGACAAAAGCTACAACAGAGGTACAAATGGGTACAAACATGCTCACTGCTGTTAATTTACCAAATTGTAAATGATCTTACTGTAGATGATCACAGCAGGTTATGGCATTTCCTCTGTACAGCTTGGACTGAGAATGGTGACACACAGATGACAGAATACTCTGTGTACTGTTGGTAGGCTTTATTAATTCCTTGTCACGAAAGGTGTTTGACCGAGCCAAGCACGCAGCAGGGGCTCTCTCTGCTGTACAGTTCTGCCTTTATGCAAGGGACATTTAGAATATGTGAATTTGCATGTCTGTGCTCTGACTTGCACTGGAAAATCGAGTTCTAGGTGGCCTGCTGCAATGGGGAAAGGGCTGAATTAGCAGCCATGTACACGCTGGAGTAAAATCATAAACAGTTCAGCTCAATTCAAGTTTGTTGGGGTTTTTTTTTTTTTTTATATGGTGCCAAATCACAACAACATTTGCGTTTTATACTCAGTGTTGGGAAGGTTACTTTTTAAATGTATCCCACTACAGATTATAGATTACATGCCCCAAAATGTATTTGTAATGTATTCCGTTACGTTACTCAATGAGAGTAACGTATTCTGAATACTTTGGATTACTTAATATATTATCATGCTTTTTACAACTACATGAATGTACTATTGCTGTGTGATTTATTACCATTACTGAAGAATACTCGCCATACCAACTAGAGTTTTAAATCTTAAAATGAGTAACAGTAGGGTGGACATTAGGTACGGCTGCACTTTTTGCTGCGATCTTCCATAGAAAATTATTCCACGCGTATATAAAACACTAACACTCTGCCTTGATATTAAATAATTTTTTTGAATAATAATTTAAAAAAATATTTCTTCACGTCAAGTACGGGTGACATGGGCCATGAGATTGAGACACAGACATTAGAGCCTCTTAATGCGTGTTTTGTTTGGGTTTCCACCGGCACGGAATTACCAAAAATAAAGAGGGCATAGCCTAACATATGAAACAAGAAAAGACTGCCGTGTAATCCATTTATTTCAACACAGTAACTGTATTCTGAATATCACCTTTTTAAACGGTAACTGTAATGGAATACAGTTACTCATATTTTGTATTTTAAATACGTAAAGGCGGTACATGTATTCCATTACTACATGTATTCCATTACTACCAACACTGTTAATACTGTAAGGTAAAGATGCTATGGAGAAAACCCCAACAGACTATGAGCAAACACTTTGAGCAGTGGAAGGAAAAACTCCATTTGAACAGCCAAAAGAAGAGAGCACCAGAGACAGGACAGAACATACACTATTGGAGAAAGAAGACAAAATGTAATGACATGCAGCAGTAGTATATAAACACCCGGGGAACGAAAAAAGGTGAGCGAGAGAATGCTCAGTGTGTCACAGGGAATCACGTAGCAGCATAATTAACGGATGCTTCGGGGTCACCTGATCCGGGCCTGACTATAACCTTATCAAAATGGGAAGTTTTGAGTCTAACCTTAAAAGTAGAGAGCATGTCTGTGGCTGTTGGTGAGTAAAAATTGTTGCAGATAACCAGTTTTCACTGATTGCTATTAAAAAAAACAGTGAGGAGATGGAAAATTATTTAAATCACTGCAGTGCATTGTGGGAAGGTGCCAGAAAATGATGCACCACAGCTAAGGCTTCCAGAGGCGTGCAAGAGCTCTTAATCGTTAGTTATCCGTATGACATTGACTAAACAACGACTTCACATTTCAGGTTTAAAGAACACACGAGACCTCTCCTCTGTTTCACATCTGAATCGTTTTTAAGTCGTGTTAGTTTGGCAACAAGAAAAAGTTTAATATCAGACATTTTTATTTTTATCCAGGAATGTCACGATTTGCATAGAATGTTTTCTATAATGGAAACAAATAAAGGTGCTACATCATCCTGTCTTTAACGTTCGACGGATCGATTGAAGGGTTCAGCACTCCACGCGTGATCAGGAAATCTGTACTGAAAAGTAAAGATTTAAAAGTAAAACTCCCCTAATGAAGTAGCAGACTGTTGGTGGGCCAGTCTTTACAAGCTCATGCTGTGGAGCCAAATGTTGTTCAAACCCACAGAATTTTATTTTAAATTCAAGTAGAGATGCTTTCCAAAAAATATGATACATTTGGGGGAAATGTATACAGCAAATCCCTTATTAGAATGGTATATTATATGCCAATAACCATGGATTAGCAATATGATATGTATGATGTAAATGTAGGTTAAAATAACAGTAGAAAATACTGATGATTAAAAAAGCTAAAATCAAATTTCACCTCCATTTGAAGGTAAATAAAATGTGATTAAAGGGAACAGAGTATTCATTTACTCATTGATTTTCCAATAATTGATACAAGTATCCACTAATATAATTAAGTGAATACTATTTAATACACAAGGGACTCATAGTGCTTGTTTAATATTCAGAAAATATTAGTCTTGGCAGCTACTGAACAAATAAACATGACTTTAAGGATTAAAGCAGAGGTGTGAAATAAAGCGCAGTTTGATGTGGGTAAAACCATGAAGAAAAACCTCCCTTTAAATGCATTTACCTTTAAACCCAATTGCTTACTTTTTCCTTTAAAGAACTTGAGAAGAAAAAAAAAGATCATCGACAGCCTGACTTTCAACTGCTGTGTAGTTTAGGCTAACACTGACGTCACCACACCAGGAATAGCAGTAAAAAAGGTTAATAACGTGTCCTTATCTAGTTTCAGACTAGATCAGGACACATTTTTGAAAAACTGTCCAGTGAGCTGTATTTGACCCTTTTCAGTCCATTTCCAAAGACATGCTCGTTAGTTTAACTGGTGATTCTAAATTGGTGTGAGTGTGAGTGGGTGCCTGTCTGTCTGTGTCAGCCCTCAGATGGCGACCGGCCTAGTGTGCACCACACCTCTCACCTAAGATGGTAGAGAAACAATTAAAGAAATACATGGATGATGGATCTCTGTAGCTGTAGTTACAGACACTTTGATTGCCAGATTTTATTCTTCTTTTTCTGTTTTTTGTTGACTACTGTTTGGTGAAGTTTCACTATTTAGGTGAGGTCTGAAAAAGGCCTGAATGCTTCTGTTTGGTGCAACACTAGATGGGTACACAAAACTCTGTGTGAGATTAGAACTCGGATATGCATGTCTGCTGCACCGTTATCGATGCATCTGTGTTTTACACTGTGCTATTCATCTTTGTCTCTTAATCTAGGTTGATGTTTGCTCTCTTTCACTTCTATTATGTTTACGAATGTAATTTCATTCTAGACAAAACACAATATGTTCACGCAAAAAGTCCAACAGTTTCCGTGTCTCCTCCTCTCTCAGCACCTCATCCCCCATCAACATGGTAGCATCAGGTGCTGGCGGCTCGTCCTCACCGCTCCCCATGGTAGCCTCTCCAGGGGGAAATCACTCCTCATCACCCATACACCAGCTTAGCTCAGCGGTGGGGAGCTATGCCACCCTGTCGCCCACCAAGCGCATGCTGCATCACATCGGAGCAGATACCTACAAGATTTCCCACGAGCTGTACGCTAACGCAACCCTGCAAAGGCCTGGTAGCCTGGCAGGTAGAGGTCAAGACACCTTTATGATTACTTTTCTATGTGTGTTTCTGTCAAATGCTATTGAGTCTTGTCAAGTCATTCATTTTCTACTTTTTTCCTGAACATGTAGAAACATTTTCTACATTTGTGGCCTTTTTCACCCTGTAGCTTTGTAAACAAATGTTAACAAATGACTAAAGTTTGTCAAGATTTTATTTCAAATGTATTAGATGTTCTTTGTAATAAATAAGATAAGACCCTCAAATTCAAAATAAAGTTTGCTTTATTTGTTTTTTTTTAACATTTCCCCAGCATACAGTATCCCTAATTTATTGTGTATTCTTTTGCTTTCAGGGTAAATGGTTATTTTTTTTTTATTCATGACTAGAGCAGAAGCAGTCCAGTACATGAAAGCATATCTATTAATGCATTTCATCATTTATTTTCATTTGTAGTCGAATTTGTCATTCAGTGTTATCCCACGAGAATATTTTTATAAATCTACACATGCATCCATCTGTCACTATGTCTAACTTCCGCCGCCTTGCGTTCTCCAGGGTCCAGAGGTTCCTACAGTAGCCAGCACAGTCACCTGGGCTCCGAACTGCGACCCCTGCAGTCCCCTGAACACCACATCGACCCCATCTATGAAGACAGAGTCTACACCAAACCTAACATTAGAGGACAAGGTGAGATCTGGAGAAGGGAAATACGACGGTTCAGTGTTTGGAGTGTGCCTGTAGAAGATGGGGGAGATGCTTCAGAGTTTTCATGTGACGCATCTACCCCAATTTTGATGAGCAAGCCACTAGACAGGGATAAGAGATGACTGGCAGGAGTGCAAACACTGACTGGACGAAACCCTTATGTGGACAATCAGTTCAAAAGAAAACCAACATACTGGTTCACTTACAACACACTGTGTTATAAAATAGGTCCAACTAAAGAGGGCCTCACCTCTCAAAAGGTGACACTACCAGAATACATTGCATTGGTTACATAGATAGTGAATGGGAAGTGTGTGTTACAAACATGTACAGTAGCAGTCAGGTAAAGAATATGGAAGAGATGAATTGTGGGAAATGTAGGATCTAGCATTTAGTGCAAGATTGACCCAGAATAGAAGAATAACACTCTGCTTGTGATGCTTTGATTTCAGCTGTGCGTCTCTTCCAAGTGTTCTAACTTGGAGTAATTGTAGTGCTGAATAACTGCAGCACCCACTGTGAGCTGAGACTTCGTTTCTTTTAGCCTGTAGTAACAACCGGCAATTAGTAAATGACTTATTTGAACCTGCAGTAACACTTGGGCTTGATTATACCGTGGCTGCGAAGACGGCCACCAAAACGTCTTCAAACAAGTCCATGACCATAAATAACTGCAGTGTGTAAATCACCCAGGGAATCATCTAGATTTAAAAATCAGTGAGTAACTATGAGAGAAAATATGTTTTATAAAGGAACAGGTCTGTAAAATCCTCACAAAGAGAGCAGGAAAAAGGCACAGCCTGGTGCCTCTCAGAAGGCAGGTGTTTTGTAATGGTGTGCTGTTATATTAAAGGCTGATGTACATAAGAGATTTCCTGGTTCCATCTGATCGTGCAGCGCTTTTTTCCCAGATCAGGTAGGCAAATCCAATTGGGGTCTCAATGGCAATTTGTCTCTCAGTCACAGTCTGTTAACTAATTAGTTTCAAGGCTGAAAATTAATCTCAATTAATCCCATGGGCGTTAGCTTGGGTGCTTTGAAATCAAAGCAAATCAACCATGTCCTAAAATGTTGTTGATACTGTGCTGCCAGTTCGGTCGTCTCAACTGTGAACGTTTCCATAAAGAGATGTGCACGGCAAAAAGAGGAAAAATTACTGTCAGTTTCCTTCCAAAATATAGTTTCACTCTGCTAATTAAAAGATCCGAGGTCACTTCTGTCACGCTGGCTCCCCGTACACACGCATAAACTGCTTTGATGCATCGAAATAGCTCGGTCATCATCTCCAGCTGCGCGCGTATGAATGAGAGTCCCGACAGCAGCCAAACGCCACACTGTTTTTCAGATACCTGTTTTTTTTTTTCTTCTGTTGAAGCCTGACTATGTTTCAAGGTCAATTCAAAGAGCATCAATAGACTTGGAAATTTCACATCACAGGTGAATTTCCTCAGGGCTTGACAAGGTCCCTGTAGTTATCAAGTTGCGCACACACGCACACAAAGAAATGACCCAGCACACCTCCCTCAGGGCAGGCTCAAGACTGTCATGCCCAAATGGTTCCCAAACTGCTGTTTAACGAGAAGATAATTCATGTGTGTGTGTAAAACATGGCAAATGGCCTTCGCTGGTCTGCGTTAAAGTGTTTTGATGTTTTTGCACAAAGTGTGCAACAGCCCTGAGGCTACAGACCCTCGCTATGGAGAATTTATTAGAGCTAGTCTGACAAACTGCAAATGTATTCAATAGTATGAACAGCCAAACTGTCTTTCTTGCCACTCTGCCTTCCATACAATAAATATGAAGCTACAGCAAGCATCAAATTAGCTTCAAATTAGCTCAAAGCTGTTCTTGACGCATTGGAAAACAGCTAGCTTGGATCTCCCCAAAGCTAACAAACTCCTATACCAGCACTTCTGAAGTTAAAAATTGTAAAACTAACATATTTTTTAAACAAAAGACAAAGAAAGCTAAGAATCTAATATGTGTGCATTTATATAGTTTTCTTGCTGCTGTGCAACTAATCATTTTCAACAAGCAGATTACCCTTATGAATATAGGCTTTCTTAAACATTAGGAGCTAATTTCAGTACCGTGTCCATAGTAAATTTTGAGTGGCTAAATCTTAACAAAGAAGTGTAAAATATTGAGTTTCCAACAGGATGCAACCACCCTTTTCCTTCTAAGCCACACAGACTTTGTAAATCTCTAAAAGGGGACCGTTTATCACCTGGTGGCCAATATTGCTGTGGTTGTTGGGTGAGTGCACTGCAGGACATGGTGACAGAATAGTGATCTAATGACTGGTGCAATCTGGCTATGCTTTAAAGTGAAGGAGGGAGGTCTGGTGCATGCATGTTTCACGTGTGTTTCCGATTTTCTTATCTGCTTCATTATTTCTGTTTGTTTTCTTTATTTTTTTAATGACTTTTGCTTTTTTTATTCTTTTCTTTCCACTTATTTTTCTGTGTCACTTTCTTCCATTGGTGCTGGTCTTGTGTGCGTATGTGTGTTTGTACATCCTTGTGTTGGTGCTCATGTTTGGTTGCGATCCCCTGCTCCTTGCCCTCCTCGTCTACATCAAATCCCAGTGGTGAACCAGTTGTACCAAGAGGTCCTCAATTATCTGCTCTGTCCCTACGCTCCTCTTTCCACTTTAGCCCCACCCTCCCCCGGTGTCGACCCAATCCCCTTACAGCGAACTGGAAGCCAGAGCGCCACCGCCACCTTCCAAAGAGGCAGCTTTGCCACGGGAGGCGGGGCGGCCGACTACGCCAATCCGTACCGCACTCTGCAGTTCTGTCCGTCGACCGAGTCACCTTACAGCAAGTCAGGCCCCGCCCTCCCCCCTGAGGCGGCGCTGGGCCGATCCCCATCAGTGGACAGCATCCAGAAGGACCCAAGGTGAGAAAAGACGGCCATTTTCACTTCGAATCAGCTCTGGCTTATTAATGAGACCCTTCGTTCTGCTCCCTTTCCACTTTTCACTAAACTTACTGAGGGCCAGATTCACCAAGTGAAACATGAATTATTAAAGGAAATATCAATAGTATCATTAACCTGAGCAACATTGAGCTTTTTTTAATGAAGAAAAGAGTTTGATTGAAAACCGCAAACGTGGTGTCAGAGCTGGAAGTGCGACATGGCGACACCCACAGTTTGCAGCACATCGGCACATAATTGACTGTCAGGATTTGACAGTGGAGTGCAGAAAAAGACTGGCTGAATCTGGGCTTTAGTATGAGGCACACATCACGCCGCATCTTTCACTGTCCTCTCTAGTTTGCCTGGTGTTGGGGCGTGTTCACACTGTTGTACCAATGCCTGTGCACACCTCTAGGTCCAATTTAAGAGTTTGCTGTTGCTGTTAGGAGTGGAGTGGCTCTCTGTCAGTGGCAATCAGTCACGTTCTGTGCAGCAGGTAGACAAAGTTAATGCGGAAAGTCTGCATGAGGTCGTCTTCTAGACCAGGAGATATCTCTGTATGAGTGTGGATGTCTGAGAGAGAGAGTGACACATTAAAAAAAAAAAGAGTTAGAGAGACATAAAGAGACAGTGTAATAGCTGTTTTTATCACTCTTTTGTCCTAGTTAAAATGAAGTTTGAAATACTATTCCAATACTGTCTTGGATTTCTCTTTTATTTTTTAGCCTCTTCTTTGTAATGGCTGCACAGACTAGCTGTCAGAAATAGAAGTAGCCTAATTAAAGCTGAACTGTCTGTTTGGGATATGTTAGTTCAGGTACAGGCAGCGGATATGTTTATTTTTCCACAAATTTATTTCTCTAATGAGGAGCTCACTTTCTCTTGAATTGCTTATTGTGAAATTTAGAAACTCAAAACTATCTTTTGTTTCATTAGCTCTCTTTGCTGTTGTTGTCATCATTGCTCTTACATTCACCCATTGTCCAAGTGTTTATTTCTGTGTGCACATTGCACTCACGTCATTTGTTTGGTCACTCTTTAGCTCTGGCATCATCGTTGTGTACCTTCAACACATCTGCACTGCTACATTTAAAGGGCGGACTTTTGATGCATGGCATTTTGCTTTACGCTCACGACATGCACACGACATGCCGATGTAAGCGGCATCTAAAGTCATACGAGTAGCTTGTTAAAGGGAGGGTCCGGTTTTATGCTACATCTTTCTTACTCTCAAAAAATCCCATTCAAAAAGGCTCAAACTCTTTGTTTGTACCGTCTGACTTCTCTACATTTTCTTTGACACGCTCAGCAGCTGAACACAATAAAGACTTTCAGATCTTTGAAGATAAAACAAATTGAGGCCCACTATTTTTCTTGAAGCAGCTAGGGACTGTAGCTTCTAGTAAGCAGTATTTTCTATTAATACGTGCAGAAGTATTTAGAACACTGAAGGATAGTGCCCAATACAGCCCCTAAGTCATGAAGTACAATAGGTCCGAGGTTTTTAATAGGTCTTGGAGAACACCCTATCACACAGAAAAAAAATCTCATTGTGGCCAAAAAGAAGATTATACCAGAGCATAGGTTTTCTGCTTTTTGCCTTTTGTGTGGGATTCATTGGCAGTGAGGGAAATATTGAGTAGAAGCAGACTTATTCATTTAACCTGTCCAGGTTCTGGGAGATTGGTCCATTGGTCAGCACAGCCTATAAGTGCACACACGCTACAGTCATACATGCTGGATTGTTCCTACATGTTTTGCGAACACAGAGTTTATGCATCTACTGATGTCTCAAAAATATTGTGAAAAAATTATTTTGTTATTTATTTCAAAAAGGTAAACTTTAAAATACTGTGTAAATGTATGTATATATACATTTAGTACCATTCAAAAGTTTGGGCACACCTTCTCAATTAATGGTTTTTCTTTATTTTTACTACTTTCTGTATTGTAGATCCATAACTGATGACATCAAACATATGAACCAAGATATATGGAATTATGTAACAAAGAAAAAATTGATTAAAAAAAACTGTCTTATATTGTAGATTCTTAAAAGGAGCCACCCTTTGCATTGCACTGCAAACCCTTGGCCTTCTGTCATTGAGCTTCAAGATGTAGTCACCTGAAATGGTTTTCAATGCCTTGTCAGCTAAGTAAAGAGAAACGACAGTCCATCATTACATTAAGAACTGAAGGTCAGTCAGTCTGGAAAATTGCTAAAATTTTCAGTGTGTTTCCAAGTTCAGTTGCAAAAACCATCAAGCACTATGACGAAATTGGCTCACATGAGGACCATGCACAAGAAAGACCGGCCAAGAGTTGCTTCTGCTTCTGAGGATAAATTCATCCAAGTCATCAGCTTCAAAAATCACAAGTTGGCATCACCTAGGATTAGAACCGAGATAAATGCAGCACAGAGTTCCAGTAGCAGACACATCTCTACATCAACTGTTCAGAGGAGACTGCGCGAATCAGGCCTTTATGGTCAAATAGTTGCTAAGAGAACACTACTAAGGAAAAGCAGCAAGCAGAAGAGATTTGTTTGGGCCAAGAAAAACAAGGAATGGACAGTTAGACCAGTGGAAATCTGTGCTTTGGTCTGATCTTTGGTTCCGCCCGCTGTGTCTTTGTGCGATGTAGAAAAGGTGAACGGACAGTTTCTACATGCATGGTTCCCACTGTGAAGCATGCAGGAGGAGTTGTGATGGTGTGGGGATTTTTTGCTGGTGACACTTTTGGGGATTTATTCAAAATTGATGGCACACTGAGCCAGCATGGCTAACACAGCATCCTGCAGGAACATGCCATCCCATCCTTTTTGCGTTTAGTTGGACCATTGTTTCTTCAACAGGTTGTGTAAGGGCTGTTTGACCAATAAGGAAAGTGATGGAGTGCTGCATCAAGAGAAGGCCAAGAGTGTGCAAAGCAGTAATCAAAGCAAAGGGTGGCTAATTTGAAGAATCTAAAATATAAAACATGTTTTAAACTTTCACACTTTTTTGTTTACTACATAAATCCATATATGTTCATTCATAGTTTTGATGCTTTCAGTGAGGATGTTGTAAATAGTTATGAAAATGTAAAAAAACAACAACAAAACAAACATTAAATGAGAAGGTGTGTCCAAACTTTGACTGGTAAACCCTTTGTCTTTAAAGTTCCAGCACTGAAGGTTATAGCTCATGAAAACCAGAAATTCAGTACCTCAAATTCTAAGACTACTTTGAGCTGAGTACATAATTCAAACAGTATAAATACTGTGTATGTCTCGTTCTACTTCAGTAAAGACAATTACGATCACCGGGGAAACTGCTGACTTAACAGTTGTTCTAATGATCGACAACCTCGACTTGGAGGGTACACTGCAGAAGGTCATTGCTGAAAAGGCTGGCTGTTCAGAGTGCTGTATTGAAGTGTATTAATGGAAAGCTGACTGGGAGTGGAAAGTGTGTTAGGACTAGCTGCACAATGCACAATCAGCAGAGATGCCTGCAGCTATAAGAGGATTGTCAAGAAAAGAGCTTCAAAGATTCAAGAAATTTGAAGAACTTCACAAGGAGTCAATTCAACAGGTTTCAGTGCATCAAGAGGCAACATGGAAAGACATCTGCAAGCTACCAGAGCTATGCAGAAAAAGAACTGGATTCTAGATCTGTTGAGGTCCTAGAGTCTGGAGAAAGAGTGGTGTTTGAAGTCCAGTTTGAAGTTTCAGCAGTCTGTGATCATCTGGGATGCCATGTCATCTGCCGGTGCTACGGTTGGGTTGGTCCACTGTGTTTTATCAAGTCCAAAGTCAACATAGCCATCTACCAGGAGATTTTGGAGCACTTTGTTCTTTCATCTGTTGACAAGCTTTATGGAGATGCTACAGATGAGCAGAAGGCCACTGCCAAAGCAACCTGAGCTTCAACAGTCCCTCAGCAGTGCCACAAGCTTACATCCATGCTACGCAACACTGATAAAGTAATTCACGGGAAAGGAGCCAAAACCAAATATTGACTAAAGAAATAAAGATGCTTTTAAGAAGTTTGACATTTCTGTATTGTAAATCGTTTTTTGGATTAATCGTTGGAAATATTCTAACTGTATTTCTGATTTTCATGAGCAGTAGCCTTCAAAAGTAAAATATGTAGCACTTCCATAAGCTGACATAGTTACCCAAAATACAAAGCATATGTTTAACGTCTCATTTAAATCTAACTAAATAAACCCAGCTTACACGGAACAGGCCCCGGAATGCTTGTCATTTTCTCACTCATTAGCTACTGTGTAACCAGTCCTGCTTAGCTTTAATGAATCTGCCATCATTCAACAGCTAGGTTGACCTAAAAATGATTTAAACCCTTAAGCTATACGGTATTTATGCAACCACCAATAGCTAAATTTCTGAAAGCAACAGTTTCTTTTGTCCGGAGACCCTCTCTTTATCTGACATACTCGCCATTTCCCAACCATCTGCTCCAAGTGCATGTTCTCCACCCTGCCCACATCCTCTATTGCCTGATAACAAAATGTTAAGAGAGAAAGATGAGTCTACTGGCTACAATTTTGATTTCTATTGATTACTATTAATTATCGCTATTATAACAGGTATTGAATAATTTGTTACCAGACAGTCGACATATACCTCTCTCTTGTTTCTCTCTGCCTGTCCCCCCTCGATAGGTACGACCCCGAATTCCTTGTGTGGAATCAAAATCAAGCCGAGCAAAGAATGACAAAGTAATCCAACTATTTATTTATACTATTGTACATTCTGTCTATCTTACCTTTGTCTCATTCACTGAATCTTTCCATCCTCTCTATATGGCACCACTATCAGAAACAGATGTTAATGTTAATGGCAGCATGACAACATTTCATATATGCATTGTCACCCATTTAGCACTGCATTAAGCAGGAATCGCTTTTATTCTTAGTGTTACTTGGGTTCTAAATTGGAGAGCAGATCAGGATTTAATCACGTCATCACATAACATGAGCAAAGAAAGACAAGAAAATCATATCGCTAACCAAATATCGATTGCTTTGCGTGCAATTTGTAGGTATTTGGCTATCAGAGCCTCTTTTACATTGTCAACATTCCTCATTCTCTCCATTGGCTTTTCATGTCTCCATCCATACCTTCATGAGTTTATCTATCTGTTAGTTTATTTGGCCGTTCATTTGTCTCCATTGTCTGTCTGAATCATCTCTGAAGTGACTTTGTGTCAAGTGTATTCACGTGGCTTGCCCGGTTTTCATTTTCGCACCTGTTTTTGTATTTTGTTTTAATGGTGCTGATCTTTTCATCTCTGGAATGCAAACAGATCTGTTTTCCTGAATACATGAGTTTTCCTTTATTCCTGAAAATTACTGAAGCACCACCATTAATCTTGAACTCAGTGAAGCCAAAAGCCAAAAATATTAAATTTCCAACAAGTGCTTATAAATATCCCTGCTAGCCTGTGTGGTTTTATGAGTTGTCCAAGCACTTTTGTTTTTTCACATGTCTCCTTTTAAAGAGGGCTGTCGATCCATTTAATAATGTGCCACTATGTTTCACTTAAGAACATATTTCATAAACTAATGTACTAACCAGATATGTAAAATCAACTAACAGTACTGACACAGACAACATTAGCTCACTCTTCAGAATGTGAAATGCCAGTGATTTTCTTATCAGTGCCATTCAGGGTGTTATTGTCCAAACCAATACAAGAATTTATTGCTGCTCTTGGAAAATCCCTTATAAAGGATTCAAATTCACAAGCTAAGCTCACTGAACTAGACTAGACTTTATTTACTGTATATGTTTGAAGAGATGAATCAACAGATTAGTAGTTTTATTGTGTTATGTTAAATCATGTCAAAATGAAATGAGCCCAGTTAATTAATGAACCAATGGAATTGAGAACATGAGTCCATAGGCTTCTGTCAGTGAAAACAGAAAAGACTGGATCAGTAAACATCACTGGCTGCACATAAGCAAAAAATTAAGGTTTCTAATTTAAATGCATACAATGTAGCAGAAATATTGTGTTTTGAACAGGATACGAAGTGAACCCGACACAAATCTCACTCTAAGCTGAACTCAAAAGTTGGAGCAGTTTATAATGTGTATACTGTGCTGTGAAAAGTTGCATATTTGTCACACTTGTATGTTTGCAGCATAAAAAAATATACCCCCTTAAATTATGAATGAATTGTAATTAGCCAAACTTTTTTGGAAAGTTGAGTTTAATTTATTAGCCACTTCTAGGTCTAATAACTGCCAGACCTGTTAAATCAAGAAATCATTTAAATAAAAACTGTCAACGTAAAGTAGTAAAGATCTTAAAAAAAAACAGCATCATCCCACAATCATAAGAATCTCCAGATGTTTGGGACTCCAGTAAGAGCCATTATCCACAAGGGAGAAGACTCCGTTTCCAGCAGTGGCCATCCTACCAAAAATACCTTAAAGAGCACATTCCCTCCTCCAGGAGGTTACAAAAGAACCCAGAACAACATCTATCGAACTGCAGGCCTGACTCGCCACAGTGTTCATGATTCAAGAATGAGAAAGAGATTTGGCAAATGCTCAAAATGCTCAAAAACCATCCAGTATGGCTGAAATAAAACAATTCTGCAAGGAAGAGTGGATCAAAATTCTTCCACAGTGATGTGAAAGACTTATTGACACTTATTGATCACTTGATTGCAGTTCATGTTGCCAAGCGTGGCACAGCTGGTAATTAGGTTTAGGGAGCAATTACTTTTTCACAGCACTGTATAACTATTAATTTTGAAAAAGGTTAAATGTTATATTAAATGTCAATTCTTTGGTTTGAGACTTTGGAAGCCTCAGGTTTTCAAACATTAAAACTGAAACTGAAACTGTCATAAACACGAATCCATTTACCACAGTTTGTGACAACTGTATGCCACTGCATGTTATACTTGTATAACTATGCACGTGACCAATAGAAGATCTTGAGAAATAAAAGATCTTGAATCTTTCTTTCTTTCTAGCTGGTAGGCAAACATCCAGCAGTCATAGTAGGAACATAATAATAATAATAATAATAATAATAATAATAATAATAGAGTATAAAAAGGAAAAAAAATAAACGTGCCCTTTTCTTCCTGCACACGTCAGCTACACTACAATCAGCAGATATGAGTTTATATGCTGGGAGAAGGAAAGGGCAGTTTCACAACTTTTGAGGGTTGAAGGTACGGAAAATGTTTTTGTAGCACAAAAGGACAAGAGCACGATGGTAAAGTGCAAACTGGATAACTGTATTATACTGCTAACAGAATTTTTAACTCTCTGCATACACAGACAGCATGCTAACACAAAGCTAGCAAAGAGCCGAGAGTGATGTTAACGCTGACAGTATGCTGAACCCCAGCCCAGCAGCCAGAGCCTAACTAGTAACAAAGGCAGTGATGAGCGGTCAGGCTCGTAGCTTTGAAGCATCATTTCTACCTGTAGATGTTTACTCTTATCACTTTGAAGTCTTTTAGGGCTGGTTTTAATTTTTGGTTTATTTTGTCTGCTTTGTTTTCAGAATTAAAAATTAAAACAAAGATCTTGTGTGTCCTCATTAGGATGAAGAATTGTGTTGGTGTGTGGCACTGTAGTCCAATCAGTTATCATTAAGGAACAAATATTAACTGTATTCTTAGGGTCTTTACCTTACAATCCAAATGGCCTTGAGGCAACTGTTGTTGTAAATATAACTGAATTAAATTGAATCATTGGTAGTCAGTGATGTAGTGTTACAGCTGCCAAAGAAAGCCTCTGCTCTTATAAAAACACATCAGGCAGGCTTATTTGCACCTGAACACACAACTTCTGGAACAGAACATGTCCTTTGGGCAGACAAGACCAAATTGGTCAAATTTGTTCATATGGTGCTTGGTGTTGCATGTTTGGCCAACACCAAGCACCATATCAACACAAACTCCTCAAACACAAACAGCACAGTGGTGGAGGGGTAAGAATTTGGCTTGTTTTGCAGCCACAGGACGTGATGACCTTGCAGTGGTCCATTAGACCAACAGGACAATGATCCAAAATACAGCAGCTAATCAAGGTGTTGCAATGGTCCAGTCAAAATCCATATCACAACCTGATTGAAATATTGTCCATAAACAAATACCCACAATCCTCTTCTACAGTGTTAAGGTTAGAGAGACAAATAAAATCAGATAGAAAACACTGATTTCAAATTATTTGGTCCTACAAATGACTGACTCATGTGGTGTAATTAGTTTTCGCATACTGGATAGACTCCAGTCAAAAGTTTCCTTTTCGCCTGACCATATAAAGTCATCATTAAGATTTTTCATCATAATTTTCAGAGTTAATACTTTCCTTCTTGTCTTCTACAAAATCAGCTTCAGTAATGAAAACTATTTGATTTTTGAAGGCATGAAAATAGAATTTACATGAAAATGAAAAAGAGATCAAATAATTTGTTGCACTGATGCTATCTGTAGTGACATAAATGAGGAAACGCTCATTAAACTATCTTTATACTCTAAAAGATTCAAACAAATTTCATTTACCTGATTTTTCAAGCCGTTCGCCAGCGTAATCTGGCAAATCAAGACATGTTACTGTAGAGACAGCATCTTATGTACTCCAACGCACTTCCTCCCTTAGGCTTCTGGTAATTTATGGAAACATTCATGCTAACACGAAGACAGATTTGTAAGAGACAGGATCTGACCCGATCCTAAAAGTGCCTGATTTTATTTCATGCTCTCCTGCACACTGAGAATCTCTGATCCATACTCAGTTACATGGATAAGAGATGGACTCTGTGTGTTTGTATGTGTGTTTCTCAGCTTTGCCTGACATCTCCTGACCTTTCGTTCATCTCGTCCAGCTTCAATAGGCCAGTCAGTCAGCCATGCTATCACACCCTCACGCACACCAACAGTATCTTCGTAACCCAAACTTACACACACACACACACACACACACACACACACACACACACACACACACACACACACACACACTTTTGCTCAAATTTTCTCCCTGCCTCAGTTTCTGTTCTCCTTCCCATCAATTCAACTTCTAACTTTTTTCCTATACTGAAACTACAAAGATGTCACCCAGACATAAACAAGCACACATAGATTTAACTTGCAACTGCTTTAATGTGTAAGTGGGTTTGTGCCACAAAAAAACTCATTCATCAAATACAATAGATTTCTTCTCAACCTTAAATGATATTTAAAGGATAGACATAGCCTTGATGTTATTGTTTTGGCCTTCGGCATGTTTTTCTTGTTTGAAGCTAGATGTTTCCATATCTGGATTTAGAGTGGACCGATAACTTTTTAGACCAGATTGTCAAGATGAATCCAAACTCTATGGATGCATCATATAGACACAAATATCTCCTCTAACTATTGCAGTGTTTTGGTTACCATGGTATTGTCCTGAGTGGTAGTCTACCACAAAGTGAGATAAAGGGGTTAGTGAGGTATGTTGGCCTTAAAATCAGAATTATCGACGTCACAAAGGTGCTTTTTCTGTTGCAAGAGTAGATCCCCATAACTTATGCTCAACACATAACTTGGTCTGGAATGAGATGAGAAAACTAATCAGTTACATTTGTAGCACATGTATGATCAAGAATACCTATTCAGTCAGTAAAATTAGTTGCACTTTTATCTGGTGACAAACTAAAACAATTTCCACACCTCATTTTTTTATGCTAGGGGACAGAGTCAGAGCT